CTCCCTCAGTTTTTCTTTTTTCTGAATCTGAATTCTCCCCCGGCTCAGGTTCTTTCTTCCCTTTTACGCCGCGCGACTCAAATTTAACGTCTGATTTTAAATCGCCGAAGAACTCCGAACTTCCCGCTTTCGATTCTCTTTCCGGATCCTTCGACTCCGATTTATTTCCGTCATTCGCGTCCTGCCAATTAAGTTCCATTCCTCGCGAGTTTTCCACTTTGAACTTTGTTTCCTTCGTGTTTGATGCATCGTGTTGCTTCATATTATTATTCTCTTCAGACTCGTCTTTGCCAGTTACATTGTCCACTTTGATATTTTCGTCAGCCTCTGTATCAGACTTCTTTTTCAAATCTTCATTCTCGAAATACTCTGCACTATTCGGATTCTCTACGTCTACGTCGAGCTCAAAATTTTTTATTTTAAAATCTTCCCCTTTCTCTGCATTTTCTAATGTAATTTTCCTTTCGGTTGCACTGCCCACTTCATTCTCTGTCTCAGACTTCTTTCTTGAACCTCCTCCTTCGAGATATCTTCCCTTCTCCGCGTTAGATTCTGCATTTTTCAAATTCTCTTCCTCGTATTTGCCATTATTTACTATATCAAACTCAAATTCTTTTGTCTTAAGATCCTGCGCTGAATCCTTCGCTCCCTGCCGCTCGTCCAAAAACGCCCGTTCGAGTTTCACATTTTCCACGTCGGAATGCAATCCGTAATCATTGCGACCATCCGATAAAACATCACGCCCCCCCGTCCCGTCCAGATCCACGCTTGCAACACGCGTCTCCTCGTTAGACGTTGATTTCTCTCCGATATGGCCGCGATGTTTCGCGTCGACGAGAATTGATGTTTCAGCTGCGATCTTCTGTTTATCATACTCTCGGCGAGTGTCTGTCGTCGCGGATCCGTCGACACGCGTGGAATTCCACCCGGGATCCCGCGTTCGCCGATCCTCCTCGTATAAACTTCGCCATCTCTCGAGCTGCTTCCTCACGTCCAGCAATTCAGCCAATTGCACGATGTTTAATCCCGTGGAATTTCCCCCGCTGTCTTCGCTCGTCACGTTCGATTCGCCCTTCTCGTTCGTTTCGTTTTTCAGAGGTGGTGGTGGAACACTTTTCTCCGCGTCTGATTTATCGTTCGCGTTTAGGTTTGTATCACGATACGATTGCGTTTCGTTGCCAATTAAGTTTCTGTCTTTCAGAGTTGGCTTTAAATCTTGGTACGGGCGGCGGTCTTGTGTCCCCTTGCTAATTAACTTCTCGTCTGCTGCGCTTTGATCCGGCTTCGCGGAGCTTGATTCACGAGCTGTCGATTCCTCGTAGTTTTTCCCGTAGTGTCTTGCCGAGTCCTGCGACTCGACCGCTGGCAAAACAAGCGGATTCGAAATAAAAAGAGATTTATCGCTCGAAGGCCGTTTATTTTCGCTCGGTTTATTGTGTACTTCAGGTATTTTCACAGGTAGTTCTGCAGTCGACGGTTTATCACTCCCCACCACGGCCTCCGTCGTGTTATCGATCGAAATGTCGCCGAATAATGCCTCACCACTTTTTACGTCAACGCTGACACCTACGTCGCGATAATCCCCGCTTTTACTTCCGTGCTCGTCATCTTTAATTAAATATTCCCCCCCGTCCGAGCGATTTTGTTTATCTGGTCGTGAGTCTTCCTCTTCCGCTTCTCTCGTTTCTGATTCAGAATCGTAAATTCCGATAGTTGGAATGTCTTTATCGTCTTCTTCTGTTTCTTTCGAACGCGATTCAACATTTGCTCCGTATTTTTTTTCAGTCACAGCAGAATCATCCTTTCTTGCTTCTTTCGTTTTTAATTCAGTATTTGTTTCATATCCTTCGTTAGTTGTATTTGGACCATGATTTTCTGCTTCCTTTGCTTGCGATTTAGAATCGTAAGTACCGTTCGAACTGTCTTCTTCAATTTTTTCCAAATGTGATTCGAGATCTGCTTCGTGTTCTTTTCGAATCGCTGTAGAAACATTCTTTTCTGCTTCGTTTGTTTGCGATTTAGAATTATGAGCTGTATCTGAATCATTCTCTTTTAGTTTTTCCAAATGTGGCTCAACACCTGCTTCATATTCTTCTCCAACTGTAGAAACATTGTTTTCTGCTTCCTTCGTCTTTAGTACAGTATTTGTTTCGTACTTTTTGTTAATTGTATCTGAGTCGTTTTCTTCTGCTTCTTTTGTTTGCGATCTAAGATCATAATTTGTACCATTTTCTACAATTTCTTTCAAACGTGAGCCAGGATCTATTTCATATTTTTCTTCAGTTATACTTGAACCGTCTTTACCTATTTCTTCCGAACGTGATTTTCCAAGATTTGTTTCATGTTTTTCATCAGTTCTACTAGCACTATTATTCTTTCCTTCTTTCAAATCTAATTCAGGATTTGTCTCATGTATTTTCTCAGTTTCGCCAGCTTCTTCCAAAAGCATTCCAGTATTGAATGCATGTTTTTCTTCACTTGCTTCTGAACTATCTTTCCCTTCTTGCAAACCTGATTCAAGATCTGCCGCGTATTTTTTATTAGTTGCATTTGAATAACTTTTTCCAGCTTCGTTCGAAAGTAATTTAAAATCTATCTCATCTTTTCCATCACTTTCTCCAGTCTCGTTTGAAAATAATAATTCAACATTTGTTCCATATTTTCCTCCAGCTGTACCTACACTATCTCTCGGTACTTCTTCCAAAAGTAATCCAGTATCCGTTTCATATTTTGCTTCAGCTCCACTTCCATCGTTCTCTCCTTCTTGCAAATGTGATTCAAGATTTTCATCAGTATCCGGATCGCTTTCTCCAACTTCTTTCGAACGCAATTCACGATCCATCTCGTGCTTTTTCTTCATCTCACCGAGCTCATCTTTCTCTATTACTTTCGAGTCAAAATTCGGTTCGTATTTTCCTTGATTCTCCTCGAGGATCCAAGAGATTTCTGCCAATTCGCCGGAATATCCCCTGTTCACGCTCGATCCATAATTCTTGTTGATCGTCTTTTCAAAGTCGAGGCCAACGCCTTCGTTGTAATTTACAAACTGTCCCGTGTTTGAGAACGACGCGTCGCCGATCCAGCTCTCATTTTGATCCCAATTTTGAGCTCTCGTTTCGTAGCCCTTGATCCTCGGTTTGAACAACGATTCCGTGAACATGCCTGATCTGAATGGCAGCACGAAGAACATCCAATCATTGCCAAAATTGTTGTCTCGGAATTTCTCCATGTTGTCCGATTTCACGGTGCTCAATTGCGCCTTGGCGTTCGCCAGGATTTTTTTTATTTCATCCTCGTCGTTCGGATCTATCATCACCGTCGTGTATTCCGAGATAGGGAAGTTGGCCAGCGATCTTCGACGACGATCATGACGCGACTGGTAAACAACAGGCTTGGGTTTCTCAAAGTTTGACGCCAGTAAGGATATTACAGGAGGAAGATTTCCTCTTCGTCTAACAACTTCCTGTATTTAAATGAAGATTAACGGAGATCAATGGAGAATTTTTTCTTTCTTATTTAGAAATCATTTTTATTCGTATCGTAACGTTGAAATTTTTGTGACAATTGAACACCAAAGGCTGACAAAATTCGGAGAAATTTTCAAACTTTGGATCAAACATTTATTATTATTACTTTTTGAAATGTTTGAATGACATTGATTATATACGCTAATAAGTTAACATAAGTTAATAACAATGATTTTCATACAAATTCAGACTTTTGAAAGTCTAATTAAAGAAACAGAGTCACGATAGAAGATTATTTTAGCTGTAAAATATTATGGAGAGGACTGTGGTTCACATTGTTACAAGTAATTTCGCGCTTTAAAATTCGCTATAAATGAATGGAATTCTGCAGTCTAATAATAAACAATATCATTCGTTTCTTGACGCACACGTGTCTTCGAGTATGTCAAACTATTTCTCATCTGATAGAATTATTTAAATTTATTGAAATAAAGCCAGCATTGATAGAGGTGTATGACGTGTAATTAATATATACATGTTTTTGAAGACACAATACAATAGTCTATCTAATAATAAGAAAAAAGAGTAACAACATAGAAGAGTGAGAAATAATTAAATATATAAATAATTGGATTTTCTCCACAAAATTTAACGATCATAAAAAAGAAGAAAAATTAACTGATTAAAATTATCTTCTTTACCCTCCAACAATCCCTTTCCCCGTAAAAAATTAACGAAGAAGTTACCGCTAGAATTCACATTAAAAAACGTGACATGAAAAATATAGATGAGAAACAATTCGAATAATGATTCTTGCAATTCTTTCCGATCTAAATATTTCCACTCGTAAGAATCATCTCCCTTCACCCTTTCAAGAACCAATGAAAAATTACCGATGACACTTCGAGCGTCAAGACGAGATTAAAAAGAAAGAAGGGGAGGAGAGACCTTCCGTTTCTCGGCCGTCGCTTCAGACATCTATTTTTCAATGAATCCGGCAAACCGGGAAAAAATCGAACGATCCGGCTGTCGGACGTCGCAGAAGCTTTTGATCATCGCGCGGCGCGTCCAAACGTACACACATACATACATACATACATATATACCTGTCTAGCCGCGAGGCGAAGGAGCAACCCTTCCCAATCAGTTCCGCTCGAAGCCTCTTGCACTGATCCTATTTCCCGCCGGGTTAATCCAGCCTCGCTCGCGCCTGATTTCTGTCGTCCATCCTCCAAAGAACTCTTCCACTCTCGTCCAACGCTCGAGACGATGGTTTCCTCGTCGTCGTTGTCGTCGTCGATGCTCGCACGATGCTGTCCCGGCCACGTTCCCGAATGAAATTTTTGCTCCACCGTGTGCTCGTTCAACGTTCCACTTGGAATTGTGTTGGATGAAACAACGACGAAGAGAAACCACAAAAGGATCACTGCTGGTCTCTTCATCATCTTTGGCAAGCTTCGATACTATTACTCGTTGTTAGTGATGATCGTCGATTATATACTCGATTGGTGGCAATTGTACAAACAGTCTGGTTTTCGAACGTCGTATGTCAAGCACTGCGCGATTGTTGTTCCAAAATAAAATTCGCATAAATTCGCGAAAATTCTAGTTTCTGGTAATTGGTACTTTAAATTGGTGACGGTTTTTTTCTCTTGTTTCCAATAGACCATATTTCTAGTAAGTGTGTACGTGAGGATTTGTTTCTTTATTGATGAATGACATATATTATTTGTTGTTTAGTGGAGTGGATTTTTTCTTGGCGGTCGTTTCGTACTGAAGAGAATATATATTCGCAATGACATAAGAATTTATGGCAGTAGCACAACACTTTGTAATTATTTGATTGCCAACTTTTACGCATTTGTAGAATATTCAAGGCAAAGATAGAGTAAAATAAAAAAATAAAATTTTTCATAGAAATCTATTCCACAAAAAATACAAATTTGCAAGAAAATCCGATTATAATTATTCTGCAATTCTATTAATTACAAGTTATTAAATTGTCTGTTATTAATGAGTCATTAACGCGCAATTGAGGAATTGAAGTTGGTCAATTTCTTCATCATTTTGTTATTATTTCTCAATCACTTTTAAAAGGGAAATCTCTACTCTTGGAGCATAGATCTTTTGTGTTCTTATTAATTTGTTCAATCCATAATATATCATATTTTCCATCTATCACCTTCCTTTCGCTGGAAATACGAAGTGTGAACTATCTACGGTTCAACAGGCTGGATTTTCAGGTCACGCCATGAAATTCAAACTTCGAGGTAATACGAAAACGAAAAGCATGGGAGAAGGAATTTCTCTTTTGGAAATTGCAAGGTGAATAAGAACGGTCGATTGGATCGGCAAGTCGAAACTGAATTCGACTCGTTCGTCGAAAGTTTCTTTCTCCCACTTTTGCTTCTATAATATTTGAAAATGATTACCGCGTTTGAGCAAACATTTAGACGATCGAATCGAAGGGAAATATTACATTATTATCACGAATGATCTACATTAGTCCATTTATTTGGAAAGTCGAAAAGAGGAGAAATCTTTCAAATTTACGAAATCATTTTCTCACGAATTACTGCGATATTTTCAACGTTAGATTCACACGTGTATATTATAGTTTTTCAAATAATTAACGAGTTCACGTAAGAGAAAAATCATATTCCACATTTCCCGCTAATTACATTTTAATAATTTTCGGACGATCGGTAATACTCGGTGGGCGTAGGTGTATTGTACGCGCGAAAGCAATTCAACCGTGAAATTAAAATTAAAAACGTTTAATTAATTTCGTGCGTTTGATGCTGCATTAAATTTATGAGTATAATTTAATTACGGGAGTGAAATTTGAATTTAAAACAACAACGGAGACGCGCCATAATAATTTTCATAAGTCATATACGCTGAACGTATAATACTCGAGGTATCGAGGCAACTCAATCCAGAAACAACATTCGAAATGTAAAATCAGTCAGAGAATTGTGTAGCATGTTAAACATGCAATCTTTATGGCTTGTAAAACACCACTGACACGATTTCGTGACGCGATTTCGATGCTTCGCGAGGCACACACGCGAAGCAAAAACGGCACGTCGCGCGCTAACGCCTTTCCTCGTGGAAAGTTCATTTGATAAGCGGTTGGTGGTTGGCGCAACATTCTACGGGGAAACGCGGAGCAATTTCACTCTCAGGGTAGAACGCTTTTCGCAACACGTCTAACGCAGCAATTTGCGTTTCATTTTCAGCAACAGAGGCACCCGCCTCTTCTTCTTGGTTGGATGTTCCTGGTACTGCCGTTCCTGCCCGCATCCAATCTTTTTATTACCGTTGGATTCGTCGTTGCGGAACGTGTACTCTACTTGCCCAGGTAATTAATAGAATTACTTGTCATTTTCGAGATAAACGTGAAAGAAAACACGTATGTTTGGGAAAGCATGATAATACGCAAATAGTATTATATTATTGTATGTTTAACGTATTGGATCAGTGCGTTAATTTTCTGTCGATATTATTCAAATACTATCACGTCGAGTTTACAGTTTTTAATTATTATTTAATTTTATTTTATATTTTACATTCTCCCCATATTTTAATTAATATCGTAGAATTATCGTATGATAATTTCTTAATTTCAATGCTGTCTAGTGGCCTACAACACTTTTGTTAGAATATTGTATTATTTTTTAAATATCAAATTAGTGTGAAGTATCCTTCAAAAATTCGATTGATTAATGTAATTGATCGAACAATCAATGTTTCACAGTGTCGGATGGATCCTTTTGGTTGTTTACGGGATGCAAATCAGCTGGACGGCCATTCCGCGCAGAAGAAGTCTGATCACGACGGGAATCGTTCTACTTCTACTACTGGGATGCTACAAAACAGTGCTGCGAAACAGGGACTGGACGTCGAGAGAAACTCTTCTCAGGTTTGTCGATCAAACTTGTTAATTCTTTGCATTTGGGACAATCTCTTTTTGATACAACATGCACTAACACACATAGATATGTATCGAATTTATGAAATTGTTAACCACGATACTTGCGTGATTGATCTATGCATTTTTCTTTAGATGTTATTCACTGAAAATTCTTTGGTGCGTTTAATTTGATTTACTCGTTATTTAATATAATTAATTTTCGATTTATTTAATTTAATAATTTTCTGGTTATTCTTTAGCACGTTCAATACATTCAGTGCGTTTAATAGAAAACCTTTGTCTCAAATTATCAATTTCACGAGGAGGGACGTTCGAATTCGTTCGACAGGCGTGAGATTAGGAAACAACGTTTCTCCTCTCGCTTCGACTACGCAGCGAAATTCTTCAATTCGCGTTCCGCGTTACGCGATTTATTTTTCGCCGGTACGCAAAAGCTGTCATAACATGGCAACTGATAACGAACACCTCGGTAATAGAACGGAACCCGATCGAGGAACAGACGCGAGCTTTCGATGCATGTAAAAGTAATATTCGAAATCGTACTTCTCCTTTTGTACTTTGATCTTCCTCCCGTCCTCTCGATCGGAAACGAAAACGCGTCGAGTTTCATCTTACGGTATACTCGGCATACCGACGAATTCCAGGCGAAGCATCGCTACGTTTCCCATTCTGCATCATTATTCGCGGAACATTCCGCGAATTTTATGAATATATTTTGAAATTGTAATGTCGGGCACGGCGTTACACCGCATTTTCCGAAACGAGAAAGAAAAGGGAAAAAATGTCCGCGCTTTATGGGATGCAACGGTAGTTTATTTCATCGCGGCGGAGAAATTATCTGGAAGGGTTGTAAAAATGTGAAAACATGAATATACTTCTTGGTAGTGATTCAGTTTTATTATTCAGTTTTCAGAGTTGGGAGTTAGAATTGTTGGATATTTGAGGATATTTAGTAAAATATCGCTGAAAACGAGAATTTTGCTAATATTCACCGATTTATAGAGAATCGCGTAATTTTTTTGATTTGTATTTTTAACAAAGATAGATATCTTCATTATGAAATTCTATTCGACTTATTATCGAAATTGTTACCGTATTTGTTGTGTAATATAATTTATTAATGACGACAGTTTGACATGAAAAATTAATTTGATGAATCATATGAATTGAATTAATTCTCAATATTTATAATCTACTATGTTTACTCGGTCTATCATCGAATTTCTTGCTCACTGCCATTAATTTGTAATTAGTAATTATTCGTTAATAAAATTTCGCTAATAATAATAATTCAATTGGAATGAACTCTAGTCCTCCGTTGCAAAATCGTACAATAGAATTTCATATCTTTGCTGATTTTGTGACTCAACAAATTTTATAAACGAAATTAACAAACATAAACGTCATTAATAAAAAATAATTTACTTATTATTTATAACTATGATTTATATAACATAATATAATTATTCTCCTACTATATCAAACTAATAAAAGAAAACCAACGAGAAAATGGAAACCCGGAATTTCGAAAGTGGCATAAATCACTCTACGCTCGATGAAAAATAGCGACGTTATCAACGTCTGCGTACGAGATTATTTGTACCGAGGGAGCTACAAGTATCAATTTCTCCAGGCACATTGAATCTTTGTTTGTATTTATTTAGAAGCAAAGTGACTCGTACCATTTTCAAAATAAACGGCTCGTCGTCTTAATTTGTAACTCTGCCCTTAGTCATTCGTTTGGCAGGCGAGCTCGTAATTGGTCGAACGCGAGATCCCCGATCGAAATTCACTTCGCCTCGAATCCTCGCAGCATAATTCCGTGAAAAGATTTACGCGGGCCTCTTCGTCACCGGATGAAACAACGCCGCGGGCACAGGGCCAATGGTTGTCGCGCGGGTGAAAGTCCGCACGCGTGTGCAAGCAACTGGCCCGTGCACAGACGATATCAAACGTAATCGCGGCGGCATAAAGAGCTGGAGGTCGATGTCGAGGTCGAGGGATAGTGGCCCTGTGTCTGACCTCGAATCCTCTTGTTTATAGGGCGGGTCTGCGGTCGCTTCCCCACAACGCCAAGATGCATTACAACTTCGCCAACTTCCTGCGAGACACGTCGCAACCGAACCGAGCGATCCTGCATTACCAGCTGGCCCTTTGGTAAGTACCGTTGCAAGTTTCTTAAGTTTCGCAGATCTCCTTCAACGCGATTGGATTTTTCTCGTGGATTTGGAAGATTTATAATGATTTCAACACGACCAGGGCTATTCTTCGAGCTAATTCACGAAATGTATATTTGCTTCTGATAAATTTTCGTTATACTTAGTTTGTGAAAGTGGAATAAGTTCTTTCGCGAAGTAAACAACGCTGTACATGAGTACTGTGAATATCGATGGGTTTGTAAATGTCGTCGGTTTTTAAGGTGATTCCTCATCCCACAAGTTTGAAAGATTTTGTTTTATCATGACAGAAATTTGAGGACTATTGTTCACGTTAATTTATCAGATTTTC